CCACCACCTTTGGCATATGGGGCCAGGGCCCTACTCCTTTGAGCCACAGGTGCCGCCTGACTTTTTTTTTTTCTAAATTTTTTTTTTTTTTTTGAGACAGAGTCTCAAGCTGTCCCCCTGGGTAGAGTGCCCTGGCATCATAGCTCACAGCAACCTCTAACTTTTAGGCTCAAACAATCCTCTTGCCTCAGTTCTTCTATTTTTTTTAGTAGAGACAGGGGTCTTACTTTTTGCTCAGGCTGGTCTCAAACTTGTGAGCTCAACGGATCCACCCACCTCAGCTTCCCAGAGTGCTAGTATTACAGGTGTTAGCCACTGTGCCCAGCAACACAGATTCCTTATACTTCATTATTCCAAATCATACGCAGTATTCAATGAAAGATTGAAGTTTATTAAGTCATATACACAAGTCATGTCTGACAACTGAGAAAATGCTATTTGCATAAGACATCAGATTAAAAATACATGGTATTTGTATTTTAATACAGTAAGATCCCAGGATTTCAAACAAGGAAGTTTGATTCCAGAGTATGCATTATGCAATTATGTACTGTGCTACAAAGAACTCTAGTGGACATAAACTTTGGCAGTATATTTCTCAAAAGTCAAGTATTAATGAATTTCATACACATGGTTTTGCATCCATAGAGGAAGCTATAGTTCTTTCGGCACATGTGCCAATTTCTGAGTCTTCCACTTCAGAAGCCTCACCAGCTTCCTCTTCTGAATCCTCACCGGCTTCCTCTTCAGAATCTTCACCGGCTTCCTCTCCAGAATCCTCACCAGCTTCCTCTTCAGAATCTTCACCAGCTTCCTCTCCAGAATCCTTACCAGCTTCCTCTTCAGAATCAAGTTCCTGACTATGTGGTGATTCAAGGTTTTTCAGAGGTTCACCACTCAGTCTCTTTTAAAAAATAAACCAAAAATTGTTGGTAAAACTTCCAAAATTAAGTCTATTATCAACAGAATGGTGATACAGCTGACCTTTAAGGTTATAATGAGATTCTTTTCATCTTAATTCACTTACACAGGGTTTAGATCACCCTGGGTAGAGTGCCACGACATCATAGCTCACAGCAACCTTGAACTCTTGGGCTCAAGCAATCCTCCTGCCTCAGCTTCCTGAGTAACTGGGAGTACAGACACTCACCACAGCACCTGGCTATTTTAAGAGACTGGGTCTCACTCTAGCTCAGGCTATTTGGAAGTCCTAAGGTCAGGCAATCCATCTGCTTCAGCCTCCCAGAGGGCTAGGATTACAGATGTGAACTGCTCATGGCCTTAATTTTTCTATTTTTAGTAGAGATGGGCTCTTGCTGTTGCTCAGATGGGTCTCAAACTCCTGAGCTCAAGTGATCCTCCACCTAAGCCTCCCAGAGTGCTAGGATAGGCGTGAGCCACTGTGCCCAGCCTAGAATTCACAAACTTTTTAAAAGTCAGATAAAACCACCAAACTTATTTACTGTGACAATAGTTTACAAATGACAATATCACACTGATATTAAAGTTAAAATAAAAACAACCTAAAAATGTGTCAACTATGAAATAATTTTCCTTATTTGTCAGACATATTTAACTACTTTAAATAATGCTATAAGAAGATAGATGTTCTTTTGCTTCATCATCATGATAATAGTTAACAGTTATTGGATGCACATCTCCAAGTACTCTTTGCAACTGTCCCATCTATTTAACTCGTTTAATTCTCAGAACAAGCCTATAAAGTAGGCATCATTACCCCCATTTTATAGATGAGGAAAATGAAGCCCTGACAGGATAAAAATCCACTCAACAAACTTAACAGTTTTAAGCAGGAAGCTAAAACTCAAACTCAGGAAATCTGATTCCAAAACTCAAATACTTGCTGCTCACACCACATCAACTTTATAGAAAAATAGATGACTTTGAATCAGGTGAATGTTAAATTACCTACCTCTATTACCTCTGCCATATACTGTACATGTTGTGCTACTTCTGCCAATTCTTTATTCTCCTTTTTCAGGCGGGCAATTTCATTGTCCTTTTCTTCAATTTCTTTATAAAGCTATATAACATAGATAAAGTTCAGTATTGCGCAGATTTGCTATTCTATAAATTAAGTTACATGCCTCCATCTATATAACTGATAGATCCATGTAGCACAAAGTTGGTTTTTTTTTTGTTTTTTTTTTTTTGAGACAGAGTCTCAAGCTGTCACCCTGAGTAGAGTGCCATGGCATCATAGCTCACAGAAACCTCAAATTCTTGGGCTTAAGTGATCCTCTTGCCTCAGCCTCCCAAGTAACTGGGACTACAGGCGCCTGCCACAACACCCAGCTATTTTTTGGTTATAGTTGTCACTGTTTGGTGGGCCTGGGCTGGATTCAAACCCGCCAGGTCCAGTGTATGTGGGTGGCACCCTAGAACAAAGTTGGTTTTAACAGGATCCATTCTGTACAATAATTTTGGGAGTGAAGGTGCCTTTCTGTTTAAATGTTTCCTAGACTGATATTAAAGCCAGTTTATACAAATATGTTAAGCAACAAAAGTAAAATAATCCTGACATTTAAAAAAAATGGTACAGGCTTGGCACTGGTGGCACAGTGGTTATGGTGCCAGCCATATATACTAAAGTTGGCAAGTTCAAACCTGGCCCAAGCCAGCTAACCAGCAATACAACTGCAACAAAAAATAGCTGGCATTGTGGTGGGCACCTATAGTTCCAGCTATTTGGGAACCTGAAGCAAGAGAATCACTTGAGCCCAAGAGTTTGAATTGCTGTGAGCTGTGATGCCACAGCACTCTACCCAGGGTGACATAGTGAAACTCTGTCTCAAAAAAAAAAAAAAAGGTACAAATTATATTCAATACATACTTTCTCATTCTCCGTAAGTGCTTCATAGAGAGCCTTCCTCCGCCTTTCTGCCACTTCTTTCCAATATTGAGAGGATGGATTTTCTAAAATAAATTAATGTTTTATGTATAACTTGAAAAATTATTACTATAAAATTCCAATAATTTTTTCCTACTAAAAAAAAATCTTCCAATCTTACTCAGAACTTCCCATATTATTTAGTAACTTATTTTTAAAAGATGAAAGTTAAAAAACAAAAATTTATTTTTCTCAACATTTTAAAGATTACAATACCTCAGAAGAAATGCAATAAAATACATACACATATCTTTCACCTTGATTGCTAAAAATTTTTGCAACTTTTTTCATTTTTATTTAACATTAATATTTTTGAAAAATCCAGATCAGTTATTTTGTACATTGCCCTTAATTTTAGATTTCTGTTTCCTGATTAGATTCAAAAGAGGCTAAGTAATTCTGGAAGGAATATTGTATAAATATGTTGTATCCTCAGTGTATCATTAGGAAGTGTACACTATTTGTTTAATGTGACCATTTGGTAAGATGCTCTCTACCAGATTTCTCCCTTGTAAAGATACCTTTTAACCCTGGCAGTAAGAAATGATCTATGAAGTAAAATCTTTGCGTCTGTGTTAATGCCTGCTCCTCAACAACTTTTTTTTTTTTTACAGTTTTTGGCTAGGGCCAGGCTTGAACCTGCCACCCCTAGTATAAGGGGCTGGTGCCCTACTCCTTAAGCCACAGGTGCCGCCCTTCCCCAACAACTTTTTACCCAATTTTAACTGCGTTGATACTTCTGGCTTAAGTATCCACTATTACTTCTATTTTGGATGAAAAATGGCTATTTTTTAATTTATGTAATTCCTTCTAACATATAGTAGTTGGCATTATTCTGTAAAAAGAACATCAGTCTGGATTCATAAGTCCTTTTTCTTAAACCAGTGCAATGTATCATAATTCATTCTTGCCATTATTCTTTTTTTTTGAGGCAGAGTCTTGCTCTGTTGCCCTGGCTAGAGTACAGTGACATCTTCATAGCTCACTACAACCTCAAACTCCTGGCCTCAAGCAATCCTGCCTCTGCCTCCCAAGAAGCTGGGACTGTGCTGCCAGGCACCACGCCAAGCTAATGGTTCTACTTTCCTTTTTTTTTTTTTTTTTTTGAGACAGAGCCTCAAGCCATGTATTATGTTGGTAGTAAAACTGTAGATAAAAAAACTGTCCATGTAATTTAAACATAGAATGCTGACCACAGACACTCAGTGGGAGATATTATTAAAAATTATAAAGAACTTTATTAAATTTATTGGTAGTGGTACTGGTATAGTATTTTTGAAAAACATTGTATATATTTAGGATTAAGCAAATGAGTAATATGTTGATGTTGGGAGCTAGGTTCATAACAATGGTGAATAGAAATACAAATACACAGTGGTGAAGGAAAGGAAGAATTAAGGTTTTCAGTATAAACTAATGTTTTGTTTTGTTTTGTTTAGACAGTTCTGTTTTGTCACCCTCAGTAGAGTGCCATGGTGTCATAGGTCACAGCAACCTCCAACTCTTGGGCCTAAGTGATTTTTTTGCCTCAGCTTTTCAAGTACCTGGGAGTACAGGTGTCTGCCACAATGCCTGGCTATTTTTAGAGACAGGGTCTGGCTCTTGCTCTGGCTGGTCTCAAACCTGTGAGCTCAGGGCTTTTTACCCGCCTGGCCCACCCAGAGTGCTAGGATTACAGGCGCGAGCCACTGTGCCCTACCAAACTGATGATTTTTTTAAAAACAAATACTGCATTTCCTAGTTCTGCCACTGAAAGAGCCTAGAAACAAATGACACACCAGTAAGCAAGGAGCACACCACGCATCCAGGTTTTGGTTTATAAATACTGTTCTTCAGTAAAGCTCCTTGGAGAAATTGCTGATTCCATGTCTGGGGCAGGGAAATTATAAGGTTATTCTGGATATCTTGTGTCAGAAAATAAGATGGTACTCAAAAAACTGATGGACATGTTTAAAGAACATAGGACTCAGCTTAAAAGGATTTCTACTCACTACATTTGGGAAAATTTTAGCATGAAATGAATAATAAAGACCAGGCATGATGGTTCAGGCCCATAATCTTAACACCGTCAGAGGCCAAGGTGGGAGGATCACTTGAGATCAGGAGTTCAAGTCCAGGCTGAGTAAAAGCTAGACCTTGACTTTACAGAAAGTAAAACCAGGCTCAGTGCCTGTGGCTCAAGTGGCTAAGGCGCCAGCCACATACACCTAAGGTGGTGGGTTCGAATCCAGTCTGGGCCTGCCAAAAATAACAATGACAGCTGTAACCAAAAAATAGCTGGGCACTGTGGTGGGCGCCTGTGGTCCCAGCTACTTGGGAGGCTGAGGCAGGAGAATCGCTTGAGCCCAGGAGTTGGAGATTGCTGTGAGCTGTGATGCCACAGCACTCTACCCAGGGAGATAGGTTGATGCTCTGTCTCCAAAAAAAATAAAATAAAAATAAAAATATCCAGTGATCTGTAATAAAGCAGTAATAATCTTCATAATGTTTATAAAACATAGTTAGAATCTTTGTTTGATTTCTACTATCATTTCATTAAAAACTAGTTTTGAGGCTCGGCGCCTGTGGCTCAAGTGGCTAAGGCGCCAGCCACATACACATAAGGTGGCGGGTTCGAATCCAGCCTGAACCCAACAAACAACAATGACAGCTGCAACCAAAAAAATAGCTGGGCATTGTGGCAGGCGCCTGTGGTCCCAGCTACTTGGGAAGCTGAGGCAAGAGACTCTCTTGAGCCCAGGAGTTGGAGGTTGCTATGAGCTGTGATGCCATGGCATTCTACCCAGGAGGACAGCTTGAGGCTCTGTCTCAAAAACAAAAACAAAAACAAAAACTAGTTTTGATTACAGGTATAATGCTTCTCATTCATCTTGACTTCCTTTGCTTCATCTGTTTTTACTGGCTCCATTACTTCATATTCTCCCAGAATATTTAAATTCCTTTCATACTTCAAATTTATTCTCTAACCATTTTGCTTCTGCAAAGCCTATTTCCAAGTCTTATAAACATTTATAAGGCAGGCTCAGCGCCCATAGCTCAGTGACTATGGCACTGGCCACATACACCAGGGCTGGCAAGTATGAACCCAGCCTGGGCTTGCTAAACAATGACAACTACAATAAAAAAAACTGCCAGATTTATGGCAGGCACCTGTAGTCCTGGCTACTTGGGAGAATGAGGCAAGAGAATCGCTTAAACCCAAGAGTTAGAGGTCACTGTGAGGTGTGACACAATGGCACTCTACCAAGGGCGACATAGTAAGACTCTGTCTCAAAATAAATAAATGAATAAAAATTTATAAGGCAATCCAGTAGCAAAGCTGCCATATTAATCAAGATCCTTTCCCTTAATATTTCATCTACAATTTGATCTAGCCAAACAAATGAATACGTCTGTTCAAATTTAGTGTTTGTACACAGGGTAGACATAAAAGTTTGTGAGCAATTTAAAATAGTAAACTATTCCTGTATTAAACCTAAGAAATTTTAGGGGTAGCCCCTGTGGCTCAAGGAGCAGGGCACCGGTCCCATATTCCGGGGGTGGTGGATTCAAGCCTGGCCCCAGAAAAAACTGCAAAAAAAATAAACAAGAAATTTTAACCAGGCATGGTGGCTCACGCCTATAATCCTAGCACTGTGGGAAACTGAGGCAGTGGATTGCTTGAGCTCATGAGTTCAAAACCAGCCTGAGCAAAAGCGCGAGCCCCATCTCTAGTAAAAATTGAAAAACTGAGGCAAGAGGATCGCTTGAGCCCAAGAGTTGGAGGTTGCTGTGAGCTATGATGCCATGGCATTCTACCCAGGGTGACAGGTTGAGACTCTGTCTCAAAAACAAAACAAAACAGTATACCTACATTAAGGGGTTTTATATAGAATTTATAACAATATCAACAAAGTTTACCTTATAATTTACAATTTTAAGACAAAAATTACATTTTTTCATACCTTTAACCATAAGATCAAATGCTTCTTGGGTGACTCCTCCAAGATTTTTATTTTCACTATATTCTAGGTCAATAACAACTCCAGAGCTGGAAGTCTTAGATGTTATCTGGTCATTCCAAAGTTTCTTTTTTGATAAGCCCTGGGCCAACTACAATGGAAACACTTATCAATCATATTTAATGAAGATTATCAATCACTTTAATGAAGAAGAAAGCTTGGGTGATTTTGTTATTTATATATTTAAAAAAGAGAACTAACAAACAAGTCAATACCACTTACAATGAAGAACAAAATAAAATAAAATACCTGTTAACACATTTAACATTATCTACAAGGAAAACTACAAAACACTGGGCTTGGTGCCTGTAGCTCAGTGGCTAGAGCACCAGCCACATACCCCAGGGCTAAACCCAGCTCAGGTCAGCTAAACAATGACAACTACAACAACAACAACAACAAATTAGCCAGGTGTTGTGGCAGGCACCTGTAGTCCCAGCTACTTGGGAGGCTGAGGCAAGAGAAGCACTTAAGCCCAAGAGTTTAAGGTTGCTGTGAACTGTGACGCCATAGCACTCTACCAAGGGCAAGATGAGATTCTGCCTCAAAAAAAACTACAAAACACTGGTGAAAGACATCGTAGGCAACACAAACAAATGAGAAAACACCCTATTTGCAAGGATTGGAAAAATTATCATCATTAAAGTAATCATACTGCCCAAAGCAATCTACAGATTCAGTGGAATTCCTATCAAAATACCAATGTACTTTTTAAAAGTATTAGAAAAAAAATCCGGCTCGGCGCCTGTGGCTCAAGTGGCTAAGGCGCCAGCCACATACACCTAAGTGGCGGGTTCGAATCCCCAGCCCGGGTCCGCCAAACAACAA